GCTGGTGCAGCAGAAGCTCGTGGCATCAGAACCGGTGTTTGGATCGGGCATCTCTGCGTGTCACCTTGCAGGGACCAGTCCCCAGAGCGTTGGGATGTGTAGTTTGGGGTGGTCCAATGATTATTTTGGGGTGCGGCCTGGCCCCAATGCCTGCCAGTGTGACTGACCTGGGGGCAGCGCGCTTTGGAGCAGCTGGCACCAGAACCGCGCTTTGGACCAGCACACCGCATATGTCCCCTCGAAGGGGACAGTCCAGTGAATGTGGGGGTGTATGAGGTGTGGTGGTCCAAACCTCATTTTCGGTGCAGGGGCCACTTCCTTATTCAAATTTGAAATACAGGCCTCGGGGGAAAGCCTGCAAACTGAAGCTGGTGCAACAGAAGCTCGTGGCATCAGAACCGGTGTTTGGACCGGGCATCTCTGCGTGTTACCTTGCAGGGCCCAGTCCCCAGAGCATGGGGATGTGTCGTTTGGGGTGGTCCAAAGATTATTTTGGGGTGCGGCCTGGCCCCAGTGCCTGCCAGTGTGACTGTCCTGGGGGCACTGCACTTCGGAGCAGCTGGCACCAGAACCGCGCTTTGGACCAGCACACCGCATATGTCCCCTTGAAGGGGAGAGTCCTGTGAATGTGGGGGTATATGATATGTGGTGGTCCAGACCTTATTTTGGGGTTCAGAGCTTTCTAACTCACTCTCTCTAGTGTTTCTGAATGACTACACGAATAAGTAACGAATAAGGAATGAATAAGGAAGTGCGAATAAGGAACCAACTTCAGCCTCCTCCTAGAAGAGCAATTTTTGAGCGTTTTGATTGCCAAGGAAGCAGGCCCATAGCCACAAATGAGTGCCGCCCCTCAAACAAAAATTCGTATGTATGTATGTATGATACACATGGGGTTTCCGGGAAGCTTCAGTCTCATTTTCTTTCAGGCCGGAAAACAAACAGGTTTTTAAGAATGCAAGTAAATTAAAATAAAATCGCAAAAAATAAAATAAAATTTGCAAAATGAAACAGAGAGAGTCGGAGATTCCCCCCCCCCCCCGGCTTACATAGAAAAGCAGCCCGGAATTGAGTCTCTCCAATCGAAAAGACCAGAGGAGGACCAGAGGTCGCAGTGGAGCCAGAAGCTGCTTCTGCTGCTGCTGCAAGAGGAGCAGCAGGCGTGGCCGCCCCCTGCCCCGGATTTCCCCCTGCCCCAGCAAGGAAGACTTGGAACAGATAAGCAAGGGCTTCAATGCACCCGCCAACCTGCCTCGGGAGGTGGTGGCTGCTCCTTCTCTGGACGTTTTCAAGCGGAGGCTGAACGACCATCTTTTGGGTATGTTGCAGGGCTCTCTTTCGGCTCTGCTCCTGCAGAGTGCAGGGGGGTTGGACTAGATGACCCGCAAGGACCCTTCCAACTCTAACATTCTATGATTCTAAGGGCGAATGTGGCATTCCAACAGAGAATAAACTAGCTGACTGGCTACACTACGAGGACAGGGTGAAGGTCCAAGCTACGTGGCATGTGTGGACTTGCAGTCAGACGGACATTGGGGAGCTCACCTTAAAATGAGCTGATTCACTTGGTGCTGCAAGGGGGGGGAGAAGGAGTTTCTGATTTCTGCCTCACCCCACTTTTGCCAGCAACGGGGGGGGGGGGACCTTTTTGCATAGTTTGGATTTATACCCCGCCCTTCACTACCCAGAGGAGTCTCAGAGCGGCTTACAAACTCCTTCCCCTTCCCCTCCCCACAACAGACACCCTGGGAGGGAGGTGGGGCTGAGAGAGCTCTGACAGAAACGGCTCTTTTTCAAGGACAGCTCTTATCAGAACTACGGCTTTGCCCAAGGTCACCCAGCCAGGTGCAAGTGGAGGCGTGGGGGAATCGAACCCGGTTCTCCCAGATTAGAGTCCGCGCACTTAACCACGACACCAAACTGGCTCTTTCCGGAAGCTCTTTCTCTCCCCTCAAAGTGCTGAGTGAACGAGTCCCTTTTTAAGGTGAGTTCCCCTGATGTACCTATGAGTGAGTCCCTGGCCATGCACTGTGACCCGGCACCACTTGTGTCATTATGCCTCGAGAGACCACGACACGCGTCAGAAAAACACGGACAAGCAGGCTGCTTCAGACAGCCGGGAATAGGTGAAGATATTGCGTCTCGTCGACTCCGCCACCCCCTCCCACTGGGGCTGGAGTTCAGTCCCACCGGGCACCCCCTCCCCTGCCCACCAAGGCCAGCCCCGCAGGAGACACATTTACCTTCTTGGATCCAGCGAATTCACCGCGATGATCTTCTCGAAATTTGCGACAAAGGTTTCCAGCCATTGCTGCAGGTACGCCAAGTCTTTCTGGAAAAGGAAGGGACGAGAATACGGTGAGAACGGGCGGTCTCGCCCGCTAGCAAGCCACCTTGCACACACCCCAAGCTGTCCGCGAGCTGGTGGCAGAATTATTCCAGAATTAAAGTTTCCCCTGTGCCGTATGTCCCAGTCCAGAACAATGTTTCCTCTAAGCTGTGGAGTGTCTTGTGAGCAACAGTTCTACTTTGTGAGCAAATGGCATGAAAGCTGTGAGCAAGCAATTTGGCTCCTTCATCAATTAGTTTGCTCTGGAGCCCTCCTTCCTGAGACAAGACAAAAATGTGTGAGCCGGAGGCTAAAAAACTCTGAGCTGGCTCACACTAACTTAGCTTAGAGGGAACACTGCTTACAACAACAGGTGGCTGTGGGTTTGGCCACAGTGCCCGCCAAACAACTAGCAAGTGGGCGGGGTCAGGTGGGACACCTGCCCAGCAACGCTTCTGATTGGCCACTGAGCCACGGCACCTCCCAAAAGGATGCTGGGAAACCAAACAGGATTCCGAGGAAAGCCATCATGAGGAGCCAGGAGCAACCCGGTCTAGATACGGCAAGGAATGTGCAACCTAGCCTAGCGCAGGGGTGGGACGATTTCAGTCTTCAGTGCAGTCTTTTGTTTGTAATCTCCTAGAATCTCCATGGCCCACCAATACGTTTGCAGTTTCGGAAGCAAGAGCACGCGCTCTGCATCTCTAAATAATAAGAGGCGTGAGTGAGTTAGTGATCCGACCGGGACACGTTGGCTTGACCCTGATCTGTATCTTTCGCTGAGCACCCTCCCCCAGCAGACATGACGCATGCCCCTCCCCCCAAATGGGCCACTGGACAGACGGACAAATGAAGTTGCTTTATAACAGATTGGACCCTGGGTCCATCCAGGTCAGTAATGTCTACTCAGTCTGGGAGCCGCTCTCCAGGGTCTCAGGGTCTTTCCCATCACCTACTGCCTGGTCCGTTTAACTGGAGATGCCAGGGATTGAACCTGGGACCTCCTGCATGCCAAGCTGATGCTCTGCCACTGAGCCACAGCCCCTCATTACAGCTCTCCAGGACCTCAGGCTGAGGTCTTTCCCATCACCTCCTGCCTGGTCCTTTTAACTGGAGATGCTGAGGATTGAACCTGGGACCTCCTGCATGCCAAGCAGAGGTTCTACCACTGAGCCACAGCCCCTCTTTACAGCTCTCCAGGGTCTCAGGTGGAGGTCTTTCCCACCACCTCCTGCCTGGTTCCTTTTAACTGAAGATGCAGCCAGGGATTGAACCTGGGACCTTCTGCATGACGAGCAGGTGCTCTGCCACTGAGCCACAGCCCCTCACATGAAGCAGCCTTCTACTGAATCCGACCACCAGTCCATCAAGGTCAGTACTGTCTACATAGACTGGTAGTGGCTCTCCAAGGTCTTAGGCCTTCACATCACTTCCTGCCTGGTCCTTTTAACTGGAGATGCTGGGGATTGAACCTGGGACCTTCTACATGCCAAGGAGATGCTCTACCACTGAGCCACAGCCCCTCTTTACAGCTCTCCAGGGTCTCAGGCAGAGGTCTTTCCCATCACCTCCTGCCTGGTCCTTTTCACTGGAGATGCCGGGGATTGAACCTGGGACCTTCTGCATGCCAAGCAGAGGCTCTGCCACTGAGCCACAGCCCCTCTTTACAGCTCTCCAGGGTCT